TTTCCAGATCAAGAAAAACTGAAACAGCTACAGGTGGTGTCAAGAAAAACACTGAGCACTTTTTTTTTATTACTGTTTTTATTACTTGGGTAAGAGAGGGCTCTGACAAAATAATGTGCTACAATATACAGTATATTTAAAGCACAGAAATCCAAACCCAATAAAACTTCAAAGACCCAACTGCATTTCCAGGGTGGAGTCCACTATTTCACAGTGTGTTTCTTGTGCCCCACACGCAGCTCACATGCCAAACCCTCTCCAGTTGTTCTCCAGCATTTCCAGAGTAGATAATGATATTGTTCAAATAGAACTATTTCTTCTTGAGAGCTCTCTTTCCTTCCCCCTTCTTTGGTTTTTCCTTCCCACGGAGCTTTTTCAGTCGCCTCATCTCCTCCTTAAAGTCTTGATGCTCATCCCTAGATCAGGAGGAAAGTAAAAAAGTTTACTCTGTTTCTTGGAATACGGAGATGTGAAAGGTTCTTTGAAGTATGTGATAATGAAAAAAACCCTTTTTTTTAACCATGAAGTCCATACTGAAACTCACTGCAATGTATTCCTTATTACTGCTACAGTATCACTGAAAAATAACAAGAGATTTCCTCTGGTACTTTCAGAACTATCAAGGTTGCCCTTTTCAGCAAAAAATGGTGTGTGCATATTTGTATTATTTCAATTGCATTTATTGATCCACTGTGCTTAAATGAGCAGTAAAATGTAAAAATCAGCAAGAGACAAGAATGAGATTCCCCCCTTCTCATCTAGCCCAGCAGTCTAGCAATAGCACATTGTGTTCCTGTGCTAGATACTAAGTTCAGGTCATTAGCTTCTAAGGAAACAGGGGCATGCTTAGCAGTAATTACAGCCCATGACACTGCTCTCAGGAGACTTCAAGAATGAGTTATGAAGAAAGCATGAGTAGTGGTAGAATCTTAACAGGAGAATAAAATAGGAAGGAGGATGAAGGGGTTGGTAGAGATAATTAATCCTCAATAATGATCTAATAAATTTGATTAATCTCTGTCCCTGTATTTTTCAGTGCAAAGCAATTTTCAAAAGTCATAACTGCATCCTACTTGGCCTAAGATTGCTGTACTGCTATTTTTCTACACAACTTCTCTAAATAGTACCAAAAAGCTTGTGATTTATTATCAGGCCCTGTTAGTCTGTGACTCTTCATTACATATTTCTGAGCTGCAAGCCTGACCCTCCACAAGCTCTCTGTATACAGAGCAACTAGAGAAGGAACTTGAGATTAACAGGGGAAGAGTAAGGAACATGGACACGTCATCGGGGCTTTCTGTGTAAGCAAACATCTACTCTAGAAAATGTTTGCACACCCACCTAAACTAAGAGCATCCTGGACACAATCGTTGATGGCTCCTATTGTGATCCTACCAGTAGAAATTAATCTAGTTTGACCTCATAGGGTTGGCAGCCTCCCTTTTTTAAAGGATTTCTTTAGTGCTACCTGATTGAAGTGAAAGAAATGCATTTGACTCCTGCTGATGTTCTTTAGTAGTGCAAATTTTTTCTGCTAGAGACTGTGGAAATTCACGTGGAAATTAGACAACTGGTTTGGATGAAGCTGGAATTAACAAGGCTATTTAAACGACATTTGAATTTAATTTAACCTCATTTATTTTAAAGGATGAAAAGGCCCTCTGGCCAAACATAGACTTTCCTTCTCTTCTACATTTCACTTATTAGCTGTTGAATGATTGAGAAATATATCATAAGACTGACTCAGGGCAATTTTGGCATTAACATCACCTCTTTGTAGCACATGCATTTGCCATATTCAGAACTACAGCCCCATCTCCTGTCTATGAGAAAGCTCTCTTCCCTTCCCCACAAAGCCAAAGCAGGAACTATTTCTTATGTAACTGCTTGCCCAAAACTATACCTAAAGTCTTTTTCACAAAAGGTTCCAATTATGGCAAAAGTTAGACAGCAGTCACTTATTTTACGCTCCTTGCCCTCAGTGCAACAATCGAGTGTGCATTTCCATATGCACCATATTCAGAACTAAAACTTTTTTCTCTTTCCCTTGAGGAAAAGGACTGTAAGCGGACTCACACCCACCCCTTTCCCATCTCCAGTCCTGCTCCCAACCCTAAACGCCCAGAGAGTACCTGTAGAGACCAAAGTAGCGGAGTTTCTTCATGAGGGCGTAGTAGGTGTTGTGAGGAGGGTACCAGCTGTGCACCTCCTTCCTCTTGGCCAAGGGCTGCTCACTGAACAACTTCACCACCTTCATAGATTTTGAGTCAGTCGGCCTGACAACATCTCCGAATATCTGAGCACTCAGCCGGGCCATTCGGAGGGCGTAACTGGAAACACTGGACATGTCTCAAGGAAGAGTGGGCACACATAGACAGACAGACAGATGGACTTTCCTGCAAAAGGAAACACAAGAGAGCCACAACTCTAAGATGGTTGAGCATCACAGGCTATCCCAGAATTAAGGCAGATGAAACAACGCATCGTACACTGATCACGTTTGAAGTCTCACCTTTCTTGCATGAAATCAGTCTAACCCTTAGTACATAGTTTTGCACACACAGAACATCAACACCAATTCAGGTACAATTACCAGCCTAACTAGGACACTACACTATTGCTGTCTATAGAGAGCAATACTGGCTGTAAAAGTACCTTCACTGAAGCACAATTTACCATGGCTAATTTATTAGCAGATGCCACTCGGCTTGCTCAAGACTACCTTTAAACTCCCGTCACAGGAACAATTACAGTGTGAGCTCTGCCAAAAATAGCACCTGCTGCAATACTGCTGACTTCTACACAAGCACCAGGTAAGACACCATTTGAACATATTGAGGAAGCAATCTGGAAGTTTTGCTCATGAAAATGTCTCACCCAACTTAAAACACTGTTATAATCTGTCTAACAAGAATGGTCAACCAACTGTAAAAATAAATCATGTTTCTCTATATGAATCACACAGATCCTTCCCATCTCAATTCTCTTCCCTTAATCATCTGTGTCACCTTTTTCTTCATTCTCTTTTTAGTCTCCCACAATAGCCATTCTTTTTGAGAGGAAAAAAACTTCCCTGTGCTAGATTCTTTTTTCCAAGAAAATCCATCAGCAGCTTCCCATTCTCTTTTAGCCATCTCCCTCCTAAAGACCTCTGCAACAAAAATGCCTTGAAGACAAAACCATTGTTATCAGGCCACCAGAAACAACACCCATGCTCTTAAAGGAGCATGAAGAAGGGTTTTCTCTCAGCTTTTCTAATCCTCCCCACTTTTCCACTTCTTTACATCTTTACTCTTCCTTTGCAAAATGGGTTGTAATAGACAAGAATGGGAATCCCATAATTCTGTATTTTAAGCTGTATGTGGCCTGTACTGTGCCTTTTTGAATAAGTGATGACATAAGTCTCCAGAGACATAAAGTGAGGTTTAAGTGCACTACACTGAGGTTAAAGTTTAAAATTCTCGTTTTAAGTATTGCACAGCTGATTCCAGATGAGTGTAGAAAATTAAAGAGCATGAATAAGAGTAACCAGAAGGACAGTGCTAAGTCCATTTCAGCATGATTACATGGAGCCTGTTGTTTAATAATGCAAATTAGAAGTATTCATAACCTCACTTACATACATTTGCCCACTGCAGGACCTGATGTACAACTGTCTGCTTTGATTTACTCCTGTGAGTAGAGCTCTATAAAAGGAAGCAGGAAAAAACCGAAGCACGTAATTACAAGTAACATGAGTCTGAGAGAGAAATGGAAAAATTAACAAAAAGGAAGGCTAAGTATCAGAGACCTCAAGCCAAGGCAGCAGGCCTAGTGTGAGAAGGCAGAAGCTCTTCAGTGACTGCAGGGCAGCACTTCAACCTGAGCATCTATTAGGTGGGGCAGTGATCACGAAGTCGTGCTAAGCCATCCACTTCAGAACAGCCAAACCTAATTCCTACATTCAGAGACAAAGCAACAAATTTTCCCCCAAAATCTTCATCACATCACTCTGAAAGTATCAATAGACTCAAGTCAAACAACAAAGCTTGCTTAATCTCTTCTTACTGCAGCTTTAAAATGAAAGCACCTTTAGCTCCTAAACGATGCAAACTTGCGGTCTGATGAATCTGATTTTCACTTTAGAATCGCTAAAGGAATCTAAACAGCCCAAGCCAACGCCAGAGACCTCCACTAATCCTCACCAGGTTAAGAGTGTTTGAGAGAGAAGAAAGGCAAAGACTACAAACTCCCAAGAGCCAGAGCCATCCAAAGCCTGGTTTAGGGCGATCTCTGATTCTGTGAGATGTGACAGAACAGTTTTGTTACTGCCACTCTTCCAGCGAGGACATTTTCAGGATCGCCCACTGGTAATTAACACACCTAAACCAAAACTAAAACCAAAACCAGCCTCCAGCGCCGCCGCTCCACCTCCTCCCCGCTCCTTACTCCCACTCAAAGCAAGCTTTCCCGCCCTAAGGTGTTTGTTTTTATTTCCCAATCCACCAGCTTGTCTCAGCTTCCTTCTCACTCGGAATACAGGAAGAAAACTTTCCGTTTTCAGAGTGACTCCTGATTTTAACCACGAGCACACCGGGAAGAGAAGGCCGCCCCGGGGGCACGGAGGTCACCGGAGGCAGGCGCGGCGCATCTTCCAGCCCGAGCCGGCCCCGCTTCCCTCCGGCAGGGCAGCTCCCGGGGACACAACCCCGCACTACCCGGGGCCCATTTCCCCCTATTCCGGCCCTAGCCCCGCTCACCCGGCAGCGCCCGGGCGGACCCGCGGCCGGCGCGGAGCGATGATGCCGAGGGGGCGGTCGGTGATGCCGAGGGGGCGGTCGGTGATGCCGGAGGGGCGGTCGGTGATGCCGAGGGGGCGGTCGGTGATGCCGGAGGGGCGGTCGGTGATGCCGA